GGGGTCAAGCGACTAGAGAAAACCTGAAGGCTGGGGGCGTCCGACTAAGTCTCACCGAAGCGATGGTGAGCTATGCTCAAACCTAAGGCTAGGGACAAGTTAATATATTAGTTAGTTAGGTAAGAAAAGATACAAGGGATGCTTACTGACCTAGGGACAAGAGGTCGAAACTGAGGTCCCTAGGGCAGCAGAGGCCGGCTTATATACATGGGGAGATAAGGGCAGGCTGTGCACGTTGGTCCGTGCGCAGCTGGTCCGTGCGCAGCATGCCGACGCGGCCCCGGGGGTCGGTGAGTCAGCGCGGCTGCGTCAGCGGGGCCCGAGCTGTGCCGTGCACTGCCGTCCTATCTAATCTGATCGTACAGTAGATAATGATGCGTCCATATCGGGCAAGCAGTACAGAGGTTGCGGGTTCGAGCCCACGAAAAGGAAAAATTAAAAAACGGCTAAGCGCCGTACCAAGTCGTGACATTACCCCCCCCTCAACGGCGCATGACCTCATGCGAGGCACCCTTGCCCATCTCCCACCCGGAGCGGCAGCATGCTTCAGTCAGTGGCAAAGGCATTGGCTGGAAGTTGAGACCACCAAAGGTAGTGGCATTGAGGCGGCGAGGGGCGTTCGGATTCTTCCGGTGGAAGTCGGCTATGAGGGCCGGCGCATTGGCAACATTGCGCGCCGGTTCCCATGACGTATGCGAGTCGTCATAGCCCTTCCACTTGACGAGGTACTGCAGCTGACACCAGAAGATCCTCGAATCCTTGATCCACTCAACCTCGTACTCCTCGTCGCCCTCAACCTCGATCGCAGGTGGCTCCTCCGGCTCCCGGCCTGGGATATTGCTACGCGTGTACTTGCTAAGCAAGGAGACATGGAACACCGGGTGTACCGGCACCGACTTTGGCAGGACTAATTCATAATCCAAGTCTCCAAGCTTTCGCCGCACGGCATATGGTCCGAGGCGCTTGGGACTGAGCTTCTTGCTCGGCTGTTTCAGCTTAAGGTTCCGAGCATCAAGCCAGACCTTGTCCCCCGGCACGAAGACCGGTGCCTCCTGCACGTGCTTATCGTAGTACACTTTCATACGCTCGGCTGACAGCTTGAGCGCAGAGCGCGTATCGTCGCGAATCTCCTTCAGGATCTTGAGCCGATCAGCGGCCGCAGGCATCGCAGACATCGGATTGATCCGAACCTGGATCTCAGGATTGTACCCTTGATGCAGGAAGAAAGGGGAATGCCCGGTCGCGGAGTGAACTCGGTTGTTCAGTGCGAATTCCGCGAGCGGCAACTGCTTCGCCCAATCATCCTGCAGGTACTGCTCAATCTCCTGATTCCAGCGCTCAGTCTGACCGTCTGTCTGAGGGTGGAACGCTGTAGACAGCGCCGGCTCGATCCCTAGTCCCTTGTACACCGCATGGAGATATTTCGAAGCGAATTGGGGACCTCGGTCTGATATGACCTTGGCCGGGGCCCCATGATGCTTGAACACATCGCGGATGTACAGGTCTGCCGCACCTTCTGCCGTCAGGGTCTCATGACAGGCCGAGAAGTGGACCTGCTTGGTAAAGCGGTCGGCGGTAACCAGGATCGAGTCGAATCCATCAGACTTTGGCAAGCCGACGATCATATCGGTCGTGATGATCTGCCACGGGCGCTCGGGGATCTCGTTCGGCTTCAGTGGACCCTGGGGCTTGGCTGGGAATGTCTTGGTACGGTTGCACACGTCGCAGGTGCTTACGTACTCATTAACAAATTTGGACATCCCAGGCCACCAGTAGTTCCGTGACACGAGCTCCAGGGTTTTGGCACGACCGCCATGACCGGCGATCGGCGAGTCGTGGTGGATTTTGACTATATCCCGCCGGAGCTCCGCGTTCTTTGGGACGTACACGCACCCGCGGAACAGCAGAAGCCCTTGTTCGGCATTCCACTCCTCAAAACCCCTTTGCAGCCGGGGCGGCCTGAGGTCCTGCACCTTTTCAAGTGCCTCAGCCACCTCCCGATCCTTCTCCGAACACTCCCTGATGCGCTTCAGAAGCGACTGATCGGCCGTCACCGAGGCATGACCGCGCCTGGCGGAGGCGATGCGGAAGCGCTCCGGCTTGAGAACTACCTGATCGGTGTTATCGTCCTCATCGCCGATCTGGTGATCTGATCGTCGCGACAGGGCATCAGCCTTTCCATTCGACGTCCCAGCTTTGTGCGTGATGCGGAAGTCGAAGCGAGCCAGGAACAGTGACCATCGCGCTTGACGACGCGTGAGGTGCTGTGACGTGCGCCAGTACTCGAGATTCTTATGATCGGTTACAATCTCGAACTGATTGGGTAGGCCCTCGAGATAGTGGTGCCAGTCGTCCAGTGCTTCGATGATCGCGAGCATCTCCTTATCGTAGATCTCGTAGTTCCGCTGCGCCGGGTCCATCGCATGGGATCTGAAGGCAATAGGATGCCATTTGCCATCGTCCTGCTTCTGCATCAACACACCACCAGTGGCGTACCCCGAGGCGTCGACTTCGATGCGCGTTTCCCGGTTAGGGTTGTATAGCGCCAAGACTGGAGTTGTCGCAAAGAGCCGCTTGAGCTCATCGAAGGCATGCTGCTCCTCTTCACCCCAATGCCATGGGTCATTCCCGGTGAGTCGGTCGAGTGGTCGCGAGATCTTAGCGAAGTCCTTAATGAAGCGGCGGTAAAAGTTGAGAAACCCCCGGAACTTCTGAACATCTTTTTTGTTCCAGGGTACCAGCCACTCATTAATTCCTTTTAGCTTCGCGGGATCCATCGCTACCTCATCGCCACCAAACACATAGCCGACATAGTCGACCTTGGGAACGTCCCATTCGCATTTCTCAGGCTTCAGGAATAGATCATTATCCTGAAGGCGGCGCAGAACCTCGCGTGTGACCTTCTCGTGCTCCTCCTTGTTGGTAGAGAAGATGAGTATGTCATCCAGGTATACGAGGATCTTGCCACCAACGATGAGATCGTGGAATATCTCGTTCATCATTGCCTGGAAGGTCGCAGGGGAATTGGTGAGACCGAAGAACATCACTAGGGGTTCGTACAGCCCCCGGTTAGTCACAAAGGCCGCCTTCCATTCATCACCGGCCTTGATCCGGACGTTGTTGTATCCCCATCGGACATCGAACTTGGTGAAGAGCGTGGCACCGCGGAGCTTATCTACCATCTCGGCGATCAGCGGCAAAGGATAGCGGTTTTTAACAGTGATCGCATTCAACCGGCGGTAGTCCTGCACGGGTCGAAGTGTTCCCTCTTTCTTTTTGATGAAGAAGAAAGGGGACGAGATGGGTGACTTCGACTCCCGTATGTAGCCTTTCGCCAACTGCTCTTTTAGGAACTTGTCCAGTTCCTCTTGTTCGTTGTTCGACAGGGGATACACCTTCGAATGGAACGTCGAGTAGCCGGGCACGAGTTCGATCGCGTGATCGTAAGGCTTTCGTTCGGGTAGCCGTTCTGATGCTTCCTTGGAGAAGACATTCAGGAACTCGTGGTACTGTTTAGGTACCGACTCCTCGGCGGTTTTGACGACCTTCTTCTTGATTTCTTCCTCAGCG